TCTTCACCCAGCGTCCATCACTCACGCTCCACTGATACGCTTCAACATTAGAACCCTCCTTTATGAGCCGCGTCTGGCCATCCCGGTTCCCTACACATATACAATAATAATACAGTGAGCAAAATGGTTACATGCTATTTAATATAATATAATATATTTTCACACAGAAGGTATATACAGAAATAATACAGTATAATGCAAAAATATAAACATATATTTATTATAATGTATTAAATATAATACTTATTTATACATCATTTTTAATGCAGTTAGAAGGATATGTTTTTATTCTATATAGTAATCTATTACAAGCAAAAAATATTTGTCTAGCATTCTCAGTGTTGTTATGGTTAACTATAACTATTCAAAATTATTTCTGTTATTGGAAAAAGCTGAAATACAATAAAATATAAATAATAGATTTAAAACTTAAACGTAAATTTGAAATGAACTAAAATAAGTGCAAGTACTAAATTTACTAGAAACTGAAATAAAAATAAATGAAAACTGAACGGACAATAAAAACCAAAAACTAATAAAAATGACAAGCGCATAACAAATTTGCTAAAACTTGAACTTAGATTAAAATAAAAACCGAAGCTAAATCAAAATATTAAAGCTAAATCAAGATATTAATAAATACTATCATTTATGGAAGCCTGTTTCCGCCACTGAATTATTATTATTATTTTTTTTTTTTTTTTAAGTAATTTGATATAAACTCACAATTCAGATTTTTCTCAGAATTGTGTGATGTAAACTTGCATTTGCGAGTTATAAAGTCAGAATTGCGAGATATAAACTAAGTGAGTTTATATCTCTCAATTCTGTCTTTTCTCAGAATCGAGTGTTCATATCATCCAACTGTGAGAAAAAAAGTCAGAATTGACTTTATAACTCACAACTGTGAGTTTATATCTCACATTTGCGAGAAAATTGTGAGATATTGGAAAAAGCTGAAATACAATAAAATATAAATAATAGATTTAAAACTTAAACGTAAATTTGAAATGAACTAAAATAAGTGCAAGTACTAAATTTACTAGAAACTGAAATAAAAATAAATGAAAACTGAACGGACAATAAAAACCAAAAACTAATAAAAATGACAAGCGCATAACAAATTTGCTAAAACTTGAACTTAGATTAAAATAAAAACCGAAGCTAAATCAAAATATTAAAGCTAAATCAAGATATTAATAAATACTATCATTTATGGAAGCCTGTTTCCGCCACTGAATTATTTTTTATTTTTTATTTATTTTTTTTTTTTTTTAAGTAATTTGATATAAACTCACAATTCAGATTTTTCTCAGAATTGTGTGATGTAAACTTGCATTTGCGAGTTATAAAGTCAGAATTGCGAGATATAAACTAAGTGAGTTTATATCTCTCAATTCTGTCTTTTCTCAGAATCGAGTGTTCATATCATCCAACTGTGAGAAAAAAAGTCAGAATTGACTTTATAACTCACAACTGTGAGTTTATATCTCACATTTGCGAGAAAATTGTGAGAAAAAGTCGCAGTTCAAATTTTTTTTTTCAGTGCCGGAAACGGGCTTCCATAATAATCTATGAATATAAATAATACAGACCTGCCAACCTTTGAAATTTTTTTGAGTACCATCGGTGACCGGGGGGGGGGCCATACCGGGGGTCATATAGCCTATTCCTACATTACTTGAAGCTCTTTGATGGCTAATGTCAAAATCGTAATTGCACGATGTGCAAAATGCTAGACTTCATGTTAAATATTTGTCATAGGTTAGTACTCAGAGTCTGCACTCAGTTTGTGATATTCCTGTTATACAGTATTTTAGAGTAAACAGTACGAATGCAACAATACAGTTAGCCCAAGGTTCAATAAATACATTCAATTTCAATTTGGTTCTGATGGTTTGGCACAACAGAGTTCTTTTAGCGATTTTAAATGCTATTTAAAACAAACAAACTCCAGTACATTGTTGTACACTGTAGAAAAACATGGATTATCACATGTCTACCTTAAATGTATTTTGAGAGAAGTATTATTTTTATAGATTGGCCATTATTTAGTGCTATGAACACATGTAATGTCTGTTTCATTCATACTGGATACTAGAGGGTGCCCCTGCGCTGAAAGTCCACATATGCATCACAGAAGTAATAGAGCTCACGACTCCAGGAAATACCATACATGTGTTTCCTCATCTCAGCGCACGACTCACGGACACACAAACAGAGCCAGTTTGGAGAGAAATAAAAAAACACGGGAAAAAAAACGCTATGATTGGTTGAACTCCTCATCTTTTTCGGTTGCTTGTTTACTGCGCGTGGACAGGTCACCAGGTTTTTGCATAGTTTAGAGTGACAAATCGTACCAGCGTACTTTAAGGTCAAAATGCGTACAGGTTGGCAGGTCTGAATAATGCAACAGTAACACTGAGCATTCTTGAGAACACTACATGTGTTCAAAATACACCTCAATCCATTCACCTGGTTCATTCAGGTGCTCTCTGCCAGGTAAGTCCTCTATCTTGATGTCACCCAAATCTCCAGTCTTGGGGTCGATGATGGCTTTGGAGAGCTCATCCTCAAAAGCCTGCAGGTCCTGAGCACTTGCTACACGCTCTTCGCTCTCGGTGAACACGCGGATAACGCCATCGCTTCAGAGAAACGTGACATGGTCATGCAGCATAATAAACTGCAAATAGTTTAGATATATGAAACAGAAACAGTATGTATACCTGGCTCCCACGGCAATGTCTCCATCAGGCAGAATGCAGCAGCACCACACCGACTGGGCAGGAAGACGGATAGTCTGGGAACATTCCCCCTTCCTCCAGACCCTCAGTGTCCTGTCCTCTCCCGTGCTTATGAAGTCTAGAACAGGAAAGAAGAAGACAATATGGGAAATAATTAAGATTTTATGCACAAATATGTAGCACCATATCAAACCTACAGCCAAACTGAAGGTAAGCACCTTGTCCGTTAGGGAAGACAGCGAGGCTGTAGATGTAGTTAGTGTGACCAGAGTAAACCTGCACACATTCACCCGTCACCATCCACCGTCTAATGCTGGCGTCATTACTGCAGGAGAAAAACTCCACCTCGTTTATCACAGCGAGCCCTCGCACACAATCCTCATGACCTGCAGGACAGACACATTACACATATCTCACACAGCTGGAGTCAAAAACTGCATAATGCTGACCCCTGCTGGAGATCTGATAAAACTAAACAAGCTCCACACGGTCTATATTCAACATCACATAAACATTGTTTCACTGTTGAAAGCATTAGAAGTACCAAATGCACCAATGTACCAGTGTAGGTGTTCTCACAGCGACCCGCCTTCCATAGCTTGATGGTCTTGTCAGCTGATCCAGACAGCATTAAGCCCTGCTCTGGTAAAATGACTACGGCCCATACAGCGGCACTGTGTCCCTGAGGAGCAGCAATTACAGAAGAAACCAGTCAGCACATACTCACACTCTACTGAAATTGATTGCAGGCAATGTGAGTATATCTGATCTCCCTTTTAAAGGTACAGTGTGGGGAGAAGTTGGCTGTAGTGTCCCACGAGCCACTTAGTATTGTGCCAAACTTGCCAGCTGAGAGTGTGCAGACTGTAAACACACACAAAAAAACATCAGGTATGGCTCCAGAAATCATTCCAGTGGCATTTCAAGACAACCTGCATGCAGTTACACTGTAATACATCATTAGCAGTGGACGGTACCTGTGTTTGTGTGACCCTTGAGGGTGAACAGAGGGTCTGGTCGGTCTAGTGAGAAAACACAGATGTTATTGTCATGTCCTCCAGTGGCGATGAGTCCTCGGGGGTATGTTTCATTAGGAGCGAGGATACACACGCAAGACACAAAGTTTGAGTGGCCGTTCATACAGTGCATCTCTGTAAAAACCTGGTTTTCACTGCAGAAGAGAAAACAGAAGAGTTAAACAGACGTTGATCATGTGTTTTTATTATCTATCCTATTTACAATACCGTTCAAAAGTTTGAGGTAGGTTTTTTTTTTTACTTCGCAATGCTGTACACCAATAAACAAATCATAAAGCTTCACTGAACCGAGCTGAATTGAACTGAATCTCAGTGAATTCAGAGAACGCGTCGCTTAGTGAAGTTTAAAGAGACAGTGCACCCCGAAATTCCTCCAGCGTGTATGACTTTCTTTCTTCTGCGAAACACAAAAGCAGGAGTTAGGCAGAGAGACTCAATCGCTATTCGCCGTATGGAAAAGATTCACGTGAACAGGTGCCTGATCTTCAGCGGTGTTCCACAGAAGAAGAAAGCATTAGAAGGGCTTGGGACAACAAGAGATTTCATTCTCATTTCGGGTGAACTGTTCCTTTAACGTTTCATCGTTTTTTTATAGATCGGTCGCTGTCAGGAAACCAAACCCGGTCAGTTTCCTTTCAGCTATGATGCTTACGAGTTGCCGAATTTCACTTGACTTGGCAACCCCTCTCAAAACATTAACCAACCAACTCCGAAAACGTATTACCCCTCAGCTTAGTAACCAACGAAACGGAAAGCAGACCGGGTCTCAGAGACAGCAGGAGGAAGCTGGCGGTGTACCTTGGGTTTGGTACCCAGACCCGCGCGGTTCGGTCTCTGGACACGGACACAAAGGCTCCGTCGGGAAACGCGACGGCGGCCAGCCCCCTGACATCCATCTCGTGCGCGGCGAGAGAGCAGCGCAGTCTGTATGAGTTACTGCCGGACATTATGACTGCTGAGAGACAGCGAACCCTGCACGCACTGACACAGCAACACTGCACGCACACAAACACACCCACAGCATGACGGGAGACCTCGCGACAAAATAAAAGCCCGGCTGGCAAACACTATTCCGCGACACTGTTAGCTCACAATATACACTTTTACCAGTATGATATCACATTTATGTCAAATACATTTTAAATGACAACAATTTTAAATATACGCTATATTCAGTGGAGAACAGGTGTTAAATAATAACAGACTTTAACCTTGTTTTTAATATTCACCCCGGAAGAGCACGAAAGAGTTGATTTCTGTCCTCGGTTGAGGTGAATCTATCAGATAATCAAAATAATGTCTGCTAATAGGAGGATAACGCTCATATTCGGAGGCTTCATTGCAGCAGTTGCTGTGGCTTTTTATCCTATATTTGTCCATCCTCTCACTCACACTGAAGACTACAGTAAGTGTTTATTACAACACAATGAGACATTAGTCATTATGACACTGCTCTTGTGTTGTTAGTAAACTTCTTCAGCTTCAAGTTTGTATTTTGTAACCTAATACTTTTATAAGCAGTTTAATCAGTTTCGGTAGTGAAGTCATTAATGCGCGTTATTACCAGTGTTGGGGAAAGTTACTTTTAAAAGTAATGCATTACAATA